GCGTCACGACAGCGCGGCCCCCGCGCCCTCCTGCAGGGGAGTCGCCCCTCTGGGGACCCCGGACCCGGCATTCAGTGGTCAGAGCGCGGGGCGGGGCGAGGCGCTGGTCGCGGACACGCCCCCTGGCTTCGGAGGAATTACGCTACAGGCCCGCCTCCACCCCGGAGGGATTGGCTCGTCTAGGACGTTTTCTGCTGCTTGTTGGCTGTTCGGTCTGTCGATCCCGCGAGCACGACGCCCCGTCGTCACAGTGCACTCTGGGAGTTGTAGTCCAGACAGGCTGCGCGCGTGCGTCGTGAGTGGAGTAGCATTGGGGGTCGCGTCGCCCACTTCCGGGTGGCTGGGCGAGGGGAGTCTGGGGCTTGCGGTGAGTGCGGTGTGGACTTACAGCTTGGCCCGGCCGGCCCGGGGACCCCTCACGGCTGAGGACTTGCCCGCGCGGTGGGCCCGGGCCGGGGCGCCCCCACCCCTTCCATTGCCGGGCTCCCGAAGCGGCCAGGAGGGCGGGGCCGGGTCTGGGGAGCAGTCCTCCCCCGGTGTCCCCCTGCGCGCACTGCCCAGTCCCGGTCCTGCTCTCGGCTGAGTGCTTGGGTCCAGCGGGTGAACCCGCTTTGAGACCCAGATTGCCAGCGGGGCAGAGGCGTGCGGGCTCCGTCGGGTGCACGAACCGGGGACGTTCACCCCGCGCCCCCAGAAGGCGCCGGACACAGGAAGTGGACGGCGGAGCGCGGGTGCGGGCCGCCTCCCCTCCAGATGGGGCCCCGCGGCCGCGGGAACTGCGGAGGGGAGGTGGTGGGTGGCGGAGGTCGGAGTTCCTCCGGGAAAGGCGACCCCAGTCCAGGTCCTGAGAACGGTCCTTTCCCTCCGTGAGCAGGTTCGCGCCTTTTCTGGAGAGGGGAGCAGAGCGCGGGCCTGATCGCCCGTCCCCAGCCTGGCAGCCCCCAAGAGCGCACTTCCCTCCTGCCTCCCACCTGCCTGCATGTACAGCCTCGGCCCGGGCCGGCGCGCGGCTTGGGGTAAGGTGCTGCCCACCGGCCGGGAGCCCGTGCCGCAGCCCGGGCTCTGCCAGGGCGCTGCCGCCGCCAGTGGGGATGAAGGACCGGTGGGGAGCGAGGCGCCCCAGCAACCACTGACCGGCCACGGGGGCGGGGTCCAAGTGGTGGAGAGGGCAGGGGAGGCACACAGGTCCAGTTCCCCCATGAGCGGAAAGTGGCCATTGGGGAGGAGGGGGCAGCGCTGCCCTGCGCGACCTAGACAGGAGGAGGAGCTGGACGCACCAGAGCGGTGGGGCCCTCAGCAGACAGCTGGCTGTGTTTTTGCCACCCCGGGGCCTGGGGGAGCAGTGAAGGAAAAGGAGGGAGTAAGAGGCGGAGGCGGGCTTTCTCCCAAACTGCGCCCCCTCAGCGTTGAGCCGCTTCCCGCCTGAGCCTCCCGCTGACCCTGTTGGTCCGACCCCAGACAGGCACCCCTCGGGCCAGCGTCCGGGAGGAAGGCTCCCCCGCGCCCCCAGAGGAGATGGAGTCGCGCCCCCAGCGGGGAGGCGGCCCCCAGCGCCAGCCGGCTCACTGACAGAGGATGGCGGCCACCAGCAGCCCCCCCGGCCCCGCCACCCCCGGCCAGGGGCTCGGGGCAGGAACCAAAGCCGGCTCCCCGCAGCGGCCCTGGCCCTGAAGCCTCGCGCCAGCGCTTCCGGCGCTTCTGCTACCAGGAGGCGGCGGGCGCGCACGAGGCTTTCAGCCGGCTCTGGGAGCTGTGCTGCCGCTGGCTGCGGCCCGAGCTGCGCACCAAGGAGCAGATCCTGGAGCTGCTGGTGCTGGAGCAGTTCCTGACCATCCTGCCGGAGGAGACCCAGGCCCGGGTGCGGGAGCGGCAGCCCGAGAGCGGCGAGGAGGCCGTGGCCCTGGTCGAGGATGTACAGAGGGCTGCGGAGCGCCAGGTGAGGCATCAGGGAGCTGGGGGGGCGGAGGAGGTGGGGAGGGGCTGGGCAGGTGCTGGCCTCGGCTCTGCGGAGACCATGCCCCTCTGAGCGGCCCTGGGGTCCCTAGCCGCCCTCTCGTGGGTCAGGCAGGCGGCTGGCCTCTGGAAACAGGGCGGGAACCTAAGGGTTAAGGTAGCCAGGTGAAGCCTGTCACGAGGACACCAGGCCTGGCTGCCACCTGGGACAGGCCAGCAAGCGCCTCACTGGAAGTGACAGGGGCCGTCACTGGGGCACAGTTGACCTTGCGTGCCTGGCTGTGCCAGAAATGGGGTTTTAAAACAAGATGGACCCCAGCCTCCGCACCCTCCACCCCCTGGGAACAGGGGACAGGGCAACCAGCATGCTGACGAGTGGGGGTGGGGGGACACGCTGGGGGCAGTCGCTGCTGCAGGTGTGGGGCAGCACCTCTGGGGCGGTTCTCAGCAGGTGGCGGCATGGGCCTGGGCACATCAGCAGCTGAGGAGACCCCCAGGCAGTGGGTACAGCCGCTCCAGGGCCAGTGGGGGCCAGAACAGCATGTTTAGGAAAGCGGGGTGCAGTGGCTGGAGCTTTGGGGTCAGGGAGAAGCTCTGAGAACAGTAGATGGCGGCCACATTGGGTTGCGAGGGAGTGTGGCCTAGGGCCACTGATGGGCACGGACGGGGCAGGAGTGACCGAGCTTAGCGAGACCTCCAGGACGCCGGTGGACAAGCCGGACGATGCAGGGAGCACGCGGGCAGCCGTTGGAGGCAAAGGCAGCAGCTGGTGGAAGGTCCTGGAGGGGCAGGTGGGCCAGCAGCCTCTGCGGAGGGGCCACTCCGGCACAGCCGGCACTGGCCAGGCCCTTGAGGCCGCGCCCTGCCCGGTTCCCAGCGTCCCCGTCTGCCGGGCAGGCTCCGCAGCAGCCGACGCTGGGGTCTGTTCTCAGGCCCCCCACTCTGTAAAGGACGTGAGTGTGCCCACTGCGACGGCCCTGTGGGGAGCAGCCAGAGAGTCCCCAAGACCCCACCTGAAGCTGGAGCTCCTTCCTGAGGGACCAACATTGAAGGCGCCACAGAGCTCCCACCGGGCGCCCGGGGCACAGCCTGAAGGTGAGCGGGCGCCTCAGGGGAGGGACGGCCGCCTCAGGAAGCGCAGGCCGAGGCTCCGGTCCAGCAGAGCCGCCGCGAGCGTGTGACGGGCGCAGCTGCCAGCGCGAGCCCGACCGGAGCCCACCGTGCTAACGGCCTCGGCAGCCCTGGCCCAGCCAGCCTCACCTTGTCCACAGCACTTTCTCCATTATTTCTGACTTTCACTGATGCTGCTTTGGTTTTACTTGTCTGGCTCATGTTCCAGTGTTGACCATGTTAATACCAGTTACCCGTTTTTACTTTTTCATCTATTCTTACACTTTTTTTTTTAAGGTTTATGTATTTATGCACACAGAACTGGGATACAGGCCAGAGGGGCAGGGGTGAGAGGACACCCCAGAGACAGAGCGGGGAGCAGAACAGGCGGATCCACTGAAGCCCACTGCTGAGGGGAGCAGCGGGGAGACGGGCTGTGCCCCAGGGGTCACTTGCTGGCCACTCAGGCCGCTGCCACAGCTTCACAGTGCTGCACTCACCCTACGCCCCCCGGACTTCTCCCTGGGTGCTGGGGCTAGGAGTCTCTTTCCCCTCCCCCATTCATCCTGTTTTTTAAAGTTTATAATGTGCACATTTTTTAGAATGTGAAACAGAAGTTTTTAAAAAGTTGTTATGCCAAGAGGGACCCCGTGCAAGGAGCCCCGGCCATTCCGTGTGCCACATGCCCAGGTGTGTCCGGCCGTGGGCTCCCGGGCCGGTGCACGTGGCCCTCTAACAGCTCTGTCCCCCCCAGCCTTCCTGCCTCTGCACGCTCCCAGGAACCGTCCCCAGAAGAGGGGTCTTCGAGACCAGGAGGCAGGGGCTGTGCTCTGGACAGCTGGCGTCCAGGTGAGCAGTGCCCAGGGCCTTAAGACCTGTGAGGCTCCCGTCCCACCTTGCCCTCTCAGCTACAGCTGCTGCCTCCCAGAGACCTTAGGAAGGTCTGTAGGTGCCGCTGAACTCCCAGCAGGCCTCTCCCGCCACGGGCACTGCACCCCTGCCCCTGCCCTGGAGGCCTGACCGCCGCTGGCTGCTGCGTCCCAGTCTGGCAACTGTAGTCTACGTAAGCCCCAGCCCCAGGCTGGCGCAGCCATTTTTCAGTAGCAGCAGGCCCTGTTGTTGTTTCAGGGACCAGCTATGTATGACGGTGGTGCCGTGTCGCTCTGTCAGGAAGGGCAGACGCAACGTGGTCCCGCACAGAGCGCGCGTCGCTGGGGCGTATCACGGAGGAACGACAGAAGCGCCTCCTGGGGTAAGGACGCCCCCGGCACGGCCGAGAGTGCCCGTGTTCAGCTGTTCAGGAGAGACTGAGAGACCGAGAGGCAGTGGGGAGGCTGTTAGGTAGAGGGGAGAAAGAAGAGCCTGACCGAGAGCCAGCAAGAGAGAAGGAAGGAGAGCTCGGGAGGCTCACGACTGAGCAAGGCACAGCTCGCTGGAAGAACAAGAAAGCGGGGCCGTGAGGAGGCAAGATGGGCCCTGCCTGGGCCAGAAGAGCCAGCGTCAGCTGAGCAGAGGGAGCACACTCCCCTCAGCAGTGTCCTGCCAGGCATCTCGGGCTTGTCAGCGTGCCCCGTCTGGGCAGGCAGCTCCTCCTGCTGCGGCCTCGCTGCCGGTGCGTCTCCCACCCTAGTCCAGGTGTCGTCTCTGAGCTGCTCTTGCCAAGTGGGACGTAGAACTGAGGCTGCCAAACAGGACACCTCAGAGGCTAAGAAAGTGGCGCTGGACCGCAGACAAGGTGAAGGGTGTCAGCAACCTGGCCCCAGAGTCGGAAGTCTTGACCTGTCACTAGCGGTCAAAGGTGGTTGGGAGAGTCCACTTGGTGGCCAGTGGTCCAGCATGTGATAGGGCGCCACTTACTCCTGGCTCTGTTGAAGCTGAAGTATCTTGTGTGACTTTAAATGGGTCAAGGGATCTTGGTTTTAAGTGTTTATAAGGATCATTTCCTTTGCTTTTTTTAAAGATTTATTTATTTGTGCATACAGAACTGGGGTACAGGCCAGAGGCTCAGGGGTGGCGAAAGGCTTCACCAGAGACAGAGTGGGGAGCAGAACAGGCAGATCAACAAAGCACACTGCTGAAGGGAGCAGCGGGCGGGCCAGGAGAGGTCTGCCACGCCATGTGGGCACCTCCGGGGCAGGCGGGGATGGAACTCATGCTGAAGTGGCTTCAGCTTCTCAGTGCTGTGCTGTAACCCGCTGCGCCACCAGGGAGGGCCTCCTTTGCTTTTTAAGATTTTTAAATTTATTTATACATACAAGAACTGGGATGTATTTGATAGTGCTCAGTACTTAACCCCAAGGCCAGTACAGAGGCCCTTGCATTTTATTTTTAAAGATTTTTTTTTATCCATGCACCCAAGAACTGGGGTGCAGGCCAGAGGTGTGGGGGTGAGAGGAGTCACCAGAGACAGAGTGGGGGGAACAGGCAGAGTGACATAAAACCACGCTGAAGGGAGCAGCTGGGAGACAGGAGAGGTCTGCCGTGCCATGTGGGTCACGTCCAGGGCTGGGATTGAACTCACACTGAGGCAGCTGTGGCCAGCTTGCAGTGCTGCACTTTTACCTACTGTGTCACCAGGAGGGCCCTAGCATTTCTTTATAGTAGTTTAATCTTATAATTCTTCCCTCATTCACTTATTTTCATTCTCTACAGTTCAGTGTTCTGTTACCTCAGGTTTTGACATCGAAAATGGGATTAAAAAAGAGAATCCAAACTGGGATAGTTCAGTAGAAACAAACAAGGCCTTACAGAAGAAGTCTGCTGGAGAGGAATCCTGGCACTCTAGGCCACCAAGAGGCCGGGAGGGTGTGCCACTGTCAAGAAGACGGCGTCGCTGTTCCTCCGAGAGTGAGGCAGAGCCCCCGTCACAGGAGGGGACAGGTCCCCGACTGTGCAACGGGGAGAAGACCTGCACACATCTTCTGTGTGGGAGACACTGCTCTCAGCATCCAGCCTCGCCCCCCAAGCCAGCCTCTGAACTGGAAAAAGCTTCTAAATGTCATGAGTGCGGGAAAAGCTTTAGCCGAGGGTCTTACCTCATAAGGCATCAGAGAATCCACACAGGAGAGAAGCCGCACGAGTGCAGTGTGTGTGGCAAAAGCTTCAGCGAGCGTTCCAACCTCACTGCCCACCTAAGAACCCACACAGGCGAGAGACCCTACCGGTGTGGGCAGTGTGGGAAAAGCTTCAACCAGAGCTCCAGCCTCATTGTCCACCAGAGGACCCACACGGGAGAAAAGCCCTATCAATGCACTGTCTGTGGAAAGCGATTCAACAACAGCTCCCAGTTTAGTGCTCATCGGCGCATCCACACTGGGGAGAGCCCATACAAGTGTGAGCAGTGTGGGAAAAGCTTCAGCAACAGCTCCCATTTCAGTGCCCACCAGAAAATCCACACTGGGGAAAAGCCTTACAAATGCTCTCAGTGTGAAAAAAGCTTCACTAAGAACTCTGCCCTCACCCGTCATCAGGGGGCACACACACCGGCGGCACTCCCACCACGGGAGGGGGATGAGTGAAAGCACGCAGGGAACTTGGCAGATAGCTGCGACGTCAACACGTGTTCCTTACTATTTCTGCTTGTGTTAAGATGCACTCGCTGATTCCAGCTTAGCAGTAGCCTGCTGACAGCGGGACCTTAACCATGTCTAAGAACAGCAATCAGCATAAAAATGCTGAACGCTTTCTAGCTTCCTGTGACTCCTGAGTCCTGTCTCACTGTGAACTTTAGTTTTGCTTTGCAGGGGAGGCAGCTATGTGATCCAAAACCCTACCAGGACACTAGAAAGAAACCAGAGGCCTGAGAACTGTTGTGTCAGGTCAGATCATGGTTAACAGTGATCTTCACAGAGCGTGAGAGAAAATCTGTCATGGGTTGTACACCCAGAATTTATCAACCTGGATTTACTCTAAACCAGCAAAGACTCCAGGCAACTAACTTTAGGAACTGCAACCTCCAGAGCAGATCACTCTTCTAACCCAGGCACACTGAAAAGGAAACCAAGGAAGGAAGTCTTGATTAAGCCATTGGGTAACTAAACCTAAGGACCTTAATCTGAGAGCAAGCACAACACATAGATTCATCTTTCTAAGACTCATTCTACCTCCCGGTGTTTATGGTTTCTTGTCTCTAGTAAATGATTTTGTTACTGCTTCTGATGAAAATAAAGGATCTCCCTTAACTTGGCCTGTTGTAATTTTCTGTTAGACACTTTATACTCACTGCAGAAGCCTGCAGGTCTTGAAGAGGCTCTTAAGTATGGAATCTGCTCCAGGTCAGTGGGACAGGACAAGGAACACAGAGCAGGAAACGGAGCAGAGTGAGGGAAGTGGGTTGGGAAGGTGGGTGAGCTGTCACTTAGAAGGGCAGTGACGGTGGGGGGCGGGGAGAATACAGGGACTGGAACATGCTCTTGTGGAACACCCACAGATAAGAGGCCTTTGGCCCACGCAGAAAGACATTTGTACTAGCTTAAGTAACGGAGAAAAGCAAGTGTCGTGCCTCTACTTGAGCCTTTTGGAACAAACTACATTACAGGCAAATGAGAACGTACACTCTACCTCAAAGCCACGTTTTAAGACTTGGTGAGGAAACAATGGCAAGGCATGTTAAATGTCGCAGTCTGAGCTTTGCCGGGGCCACCTCATGTCACTGCAGACATGCCAGGAGCACGGCAGCTAGGAGAGGCGACACTATATAGAACCTAGAGCCAGATTCTTGGTTTTTGCACCCCACAGAGGGGGGAATTTACATCTCTGAGGAGCCCTGGCAGAGGCTGAAATGCAGGGGCTTGAATATAACCCGCCTGGGAAGCAGGGTTAAGTGGGAGGCAGCCGGGGCTGGGCCCTGCAGGGCTCCGGTGCCAGCTGCAGGAGTCAGGCTTAGCAGGTAAGGAGGGCAGCAAAGGTGAAGGGGCGCACCGAGGTGGCCATACCACTAAGGGGAGCAGCTTCCCACAGCCGGCGTCTGTTCGCCGGGTGTCCACCTCCCATGTCCAGTGCCGCCTGCCTCCAACTGCTGGGATGGCCGCTGTAGGTTAAATATGGAGGCACTTTATGATCTCCGGGCAGCTTATATACCAGCGTCCCGGCACTGACACATTTTAACGAATGCAACTTTTCTGTGGCCACGCCTCCTTTCCCCAGGATCCTGCGACAGGCTCGGCCAGTGCCACCACAACCAGAGAAGTGGGCACAGCCTAGATGCCCCCCCACAACACTTTTGTGGCTCCTCAGCCTGAGACAGCAGATGGACAGTCACAGCCCGGAACAGAGCTGGGCCCTGCAGCTCCTTCACCCTCACTGTCCTCTTCTACCCCTGTGCTGCCCTCGGGGGCCACGGCCTCCACAGCTCATTGTGGAGACGGCCCGGGACCTCTGGGCCCTTCGGCCGGGCGCCCGTGGCTCTGCTCACCTCGCCGCCGACCAGTCCTCACGCCCACGTTGTTGGGGCCCCTGCGGCTCACATCGGGCTCGGTCTGGGGGCGACCAAGAGGGCTGCGCTGCGCCGCGCCGGGGTTGGACGAGGGGGGGGGAGGGGCGAGTCCCGCAGCGGCTCCACCGCTCCACACGCGCCTCTGGTGGGCCGGGCCACACCGCCCCGCCCCGCCCCGCAGGCCCAGGGGGAAGAGGTACCCGAGGCGCCTTCCGGAAAGTCAGAGCTAAACGCTGGAACGAGGGCCGAGGCCCTGCGGCTGGCCAGGTCTGCGGCCGGCGCCTCGGCGTCCTGCGGGCCGGACCCCACAACTCTCAAACCTCGGGCACTGCTCTGGGCCCCCCGCGGGCCCCAAGCCAGCCTCTCCCCTGGCCAGAGACCCACCTGCATTCACCTGTCCCAGGCGGACGCGTGGGGACCTGGACGAAGGGCTCAGCAGAGCGCGCGTGGGGCTGGCCTCTGGCAGGGGCGAAGGCAGAGCGCACAGAGGGCCCCTGGCCCC